AAGTAAATTTAGTTTTCCCATGTTTTAGTTTTTTGTTTCATAAAACTTTTTTATGGGACAAAACTTTAGAAACTTTTTTTAGTTTTTTGTTCCATAAAACTTTTTTAAAAGTTCTAGTTATTATATAGTTAATTTAGATTGTCAACAATTTTAGTTTTATTTAAACAATGCGGGGTTGTATCTAAAACATCTTGAAGGTACATAATTTTTAGCAATATGGAAAAAAAAATTTGCTATAAGGGAATATTTTCTAATCTCTATAGCAATCTTTTTAATACATGAATTTAAATTGATGTATAATTACTGTATTCGTATCATTTAGTTAATGAATTTCGGAACGATGAACTTGTTGTATAAGCTTTTGATTTTTTTGTTCCATAACCAAATAAAATTCCTTAGTTGAATTTTACAGAAAGTTCATAATTTGTTAAAAAAAAAAAACATCTAAACAGTTTTAATCTTTGATCTCCAGTCATAAAAAATTATAATACCTGGATTTTTAAATTGGAAACATAAAATATTGAGGTATTAATATCTGCCATTTTTCTTACTATAAGCACAATCAGAAATTATGTATCTATATACTCATATTTTGTCCATTCTTCACCATACTGTGTTATTATGTTTAAACTAAAACCTTACTCCTTTTTTTGTGTAAACATATGTGTATTTTCATAATTTATGTCTTAACTTACTGGTGGTTCTGCACGTAAATAGGTGTATTTTAACCTGCAGTTTTCTTTGCATAGCAAAATAGTTTTTCTATATTATTAGATAAGGAAATAGTGTGCAGGGATGAAACATTCTCCAAATTTTGCCATTTGCTAAACCGCCAGTGGGTTAAAAAAAAAAAAAAAAAAAAAAAAAAAAATAAAAAAANAAAAAAAAAAAAAAAAAAAACTTTGTTTTTTGTATAAATCATTAAGCTGTACCAAGGTAAAATCAGATGTTACACTTTGAAACAATTTGCTGTTTCTACTTTAAGTGGCTGGCAAATATTTTTCTTAAAAACGTTTTTATTAAAATATATAATACAGATGAAAATGTTTTTCTATTTTAAGATTTAATTTAGATTGTAAATTTAGCTGTAATTATTGAAGCCAAAAGTTAAGATATGAAAAGTGTCCCAATGTACATCTAATTCCTTTAAAAGCCTACTAAACAGTGAAATTTATTAACATCATAAAACTAATGAATTCAAGGAAAATATTTTAAAAAGGCATATTTAGTTTCTTTTAAATTATAACATTTAAACTTCTCACTTAATTAAACTATTTTGTAGTAGGTATAAATAATTTGTTAATACTAGGGGACTCCGCCCCCTGCTCGCTACGCTCGCCAACCCCCAGAACTGCTTCGCAGTTCCATTGCATATTGCTTCGCAATCTTATAAAAGCATTTTAACAAATTTAAATTTTAAAATAAAAATGCCAGATATTGAAATCAATTACTTAATGAACTTTATACACTTCTCTGCCCCCTTAACAATTTGATTATCTTTTCTTCATGTAGCTGAGAAATTTGGAGCTGTAGCAGAGAATATATCTCAATAAGAAATGCTTTCCCGTTTAGAATTCCGCCATTCATTTCTCTGACGTCTGCCAGAGATATTTCGACGCCTGATAGCAGGCATTTTATTTAGGCAGCAGGCACTAAATAAATAAAAATAGAACTAAATAACTAAGATATCGTTTTAAATCTCAAATCAAAATAATTGTTTGTAGAAAGTTTGTTTTGGTTTGAATATTCGCACGTTTGTTTTGGTTTGAATATTCGCACGATGCCATTGCCATTCTATTGTAACGAAACAAAAAATTTATCATGAAACTAAAAATTTATCAAAGGAACTAAAGATATTGAATTCTTTTTTTAAGAAATTCAGTTCCGTTTTTTTTTTTCCACTCTTATTTTTGTTTATCAATCTATTAATTCAGAAATGCTTTAAATCAAACGATGCTTACGGAAACAATGCTTATGCGAACCACCCGAAAAATGATTTGCTGAATTCTCATTGGTTGAAACTAAATTATTAATTTTATTAATTAATTAAAGGAAATTTTCATAATTTAAGACCTTATTGCACATCTACATAACAATACCTTTAAAACGACACCTTATTTGTTTAATTCTGTTGTGTAGTTTGGGAGTTTTTAGCGAGACAAAATATTGCTAGCCTATTAATATATAGATTTTTAGTTTTCAAAACTTGATTATATTTTTTCTTTAAAAAAAATATTTTTTTTCCCTTTAGTAACTAACATATTTTGTGCAAATAAAATTGAATTTTATTTAGAAAAATGTACTAGAACTTAGGTATTTTTGACATGGTGGATGTTTATTTATAATTATAATTAAACAAACAGTTGTCTGCAAATTGTTGATCTAATTATATTTATAGCGAAACTTCTGCCATGTACATAAACATTATAAACTTAGAAATAAACTACATTAAATTCGTTCTTACATAAAAAGTTAAATTTTATTTTTAATATTCGAGTGATAATTTGGAGGCAGTTAGTTGTAAAAATTAGGTGATATGAATTTATTCTAAATTCTTCAATAATTTCCTACTTTCATCAATTTAAAAAAAAAATCATTTTCACTAAATAGTTTTGCACATTAATCACGAGTTTAAACATTATTAAGCTTTGCACCCCTAAAAGTATTTTACCTGGTTTTTGCATAAGAATATTTATGTTTAAATAAAAAATAAAAAAATTTGTGGTGGTTGAATATTTAGTCAAAAGCTAAATAAACTAGTATTTGTCAGGCCCAATTTTTATATTCATTAATTAATATTTAGCCCAAACATTATTTGATCTATTGCTAATTTTTATTGATGTTACTAAATGTGCTTAAAATATCCTAGGTTCCTTACTTTTTATGTCATTTAGTTTGTTTTTTTTTAGTTTAGTTTTGTCACTTGTTTATTTAAGAGATCAATACCTATTTGAAAAACACTTATGTTAGAGAATTTTTATTTTCTATTAAGAATATTGCTCTACTTGAATTTTCAATTTGAAAAATTTGCTCTATGTAAACATATATTATTATGTCTAAGTATAGCCACTTAAACAAACATTTATATTTAATTAATTTAAGGACCATAAAATATATTTTTTATGTAGCCTGAAGCTCTGATTGATATTCAAATGATCAATCAAACTGAATAATTCGCTAGCAATAAATAAATTTAGAAGCTTTGTAATATTAGTTTATTAATGGTATTTTTATTTGTTTTATTTTTTTTTTAGCTAATACAAAATCTGAACTGAGTTTTTAAATAATTTATTTTCTCAAGTTGTCTGTAAGCTTTAGAGAAGTCGATCAAGGATAGTTCTTTGCATTATTTTTGGAAACTGCTGTTAAATATGAATTTTTGAACATTTGCACCAAACTTTATGTACAAAAAAAAAAACTTGTTTAGGGTTAAATTCTTTTAAACCAGTTTTTTTATATACTCTGATAGTTTTAAATGATTTTATTTCTATTGAGTTTGGGAACCGCTTTCTTATCCATGGTCATATTCATAACTATTTAATTTTGATATTTCAAGTGTAAATTTTACTATAAATCATTTTTTTTTCCGACAAGGTTACATTTTTGAAATTTGTCCCTTATAGATCATACATACCTGGCTAAGTGTTGAGAACCTTTTATATGTAAGAAAATATAAGTAAATAATTATAAATGAAACTTCCCAATAACCATTACATACACTAGCCTGCTAAAGTCTTTGATCAAACTCAATATTATAGATTATTGATTCTAAATGTAATAAAATAATGTATTATCCTATTTCTTAACTTGCTTAGAATGCTCATCAAGAAGAAATCTAAGTAAGAACTTTGAAAATCACTTTAAATCAAATGTAATTTATTTTCATATCAGTCATATATTAAATGATTCGTGTTTAGTGGTTTTCATGCATCAAAGCAAGTATTAAAGGAATTACTTTATTTATGATAATATTATTTAATTAAAATACAGTTTTAACAAGTATGTTTTGCACATTTATTTTTTGAGTTTTGATCGTAATTTTATGTGTGTACTATTTAATAATGACATTTGTTTTTGTCGAATTTGTTCTTACACGACTCAAAATGTGAAAAAAAGAAATATTATTCAGCTGAGCTCTGTGCAAAGATTATAATTTTATCCAAAGAAGGATGTTTACGATTCAATAGCTTAGATTATAAATTCTGAAATCATGTGTAAATTATATGTTGGCACGATTAAGAACAATGGGGGCGAATTCTACAAAAAACGCACAAGGCCAGAAATAGGTCGACCAAACACTTTAGCACGTTAGTGAATATATATGCAGTGAAATGGGCCTTTAACAAGAGCAAAAAGTCCAAGGCAGTTTCTTATTAATATGGGTGTTATTTAAATTGGAATCACATGATATAATCAAAAATATAAGCTAAGAAGGTAATAAGGTTGGATGTTTGTCTATGATTCAACCTTGTGCTTTGATTTGGAAATTGTTCAATGTTCAACACTTAAGATGCCAAGTACATTATCACTGATACCTGATTACTACTGATGGCAGAAGCAGCACTGTGTTGAGAACAGTTCTATTTTATTAAGTCTCCTTTATGTCTTTTTTCTTTTCCTTCAGCAAAAAGAACTCCTATTTTATGTTTACTCATTTATAATGTTGTGTGTTGATAAAATAATAATTCACTAAAAATATAGAGCGGATCTGACGTATGATTCACAAACATTAATTTTATAAGAAAAGACTGGTAAACTTGCCCACAAATATTTGTTAAATTCAAGTTCAATTTATATAGTTTTATGTTATACATACACACATATATATATATATTTGAAACTTTGACTTTGTTTTGAAATTATATTAAGTTGCTTGAAGGAGATCCTAAAATAAATCCATTATTTTTTTCAGTAGTTCATTGACATTTATGTATTTTACCTTATAAACTTATACAAATAATTTATTGCTTGCTTTATGGTTTTGTTAATATAATTAAATTGTAAAAATGATTTTTGCTACAGTATATCATTGTTATAAGGTTGATTAAAACAGCATTATTTTTCAGGTCAAAATGAATAATTTCTTAAAACTTTTGCAACCTCTTAAAAGCCTTTCTGCTGTTTTCTCCTCAACTTATAAAGGTGAGTTTACAAAATTGAAATCTGAAAATATGGCTAAGTCTAAAAAAAAAATTATTTTAGATTTTTCTTTTTAATTTACATGCATTTCTTTTTAATTTTCTTGTAACTGTCTTCAAATTTTAATAATATGTCAGAAGATAACTGCTCAACTATTTACTGTTGTTCTATTTCTTTGAATTTCAAACTGTCCAGAGTGAAATTATTTCTTAGACAAACTATAATGTTAAGACCTATACTACGTGCAAGCCTGACTGATTTAATCTGATTTAAAAAAAAGATTAAATCTGGATAAATGTTTTGTTCTAGGTTATTATTTTCCTTTTGTTGTGAGCAAAATAATTTTCTGTCTAACAAATATTTTGATTATGTCCTGTTAGTTTCATCCTTACAAGTACATATACTTTTAAAACTTATAATATAAGTAGTTTTTATATATAATTAATGATGAAAGATTTGTGCTACCAAATATTTGATTTTTTTTTTCAGTTTTCTGACCTAAATTAATTTGTCATTTAATGTCTAGCTGATAAACTAGGTCCATTTAATGTCTAGCTGATTAAAAAAATTTTTATAACCGTCGTTGTACAGCCGACCCAATTTTGAGTTTATGACTGTCAGTGTTCAACTTCGTAGCCTTGTAATTTGAGCTCAATGCAGAAGACAAGAGAACTTCTGGATTAAGTATTTTATTTTGTAACCGTTGTTGAACAGCCGACCCAATTTTTTGGGTTTACAACTACGAATGTTCAACTCTGAAGTTTTGTAATTTTGAACCCAATCCAGAAGACAAGTAAACTCCTATTGGGAGATATTGACCAGCCATCGCTGGAATTCGAACTCGGTTCACCTCATTGGAAGGTGAACGCTCTAACCCCTGAGCCATCATGGTGCTGGATTAAGTATTGAGAGAAATTTGCCTTCGTTGAGGACTTTTTGATGAAGCCAACGCACGTTTGTATTAAATGAAGATGAAAACTTCCCATGGTAAGCCTGGTGGCAATAGGACTCTAACCCATGATCTGTCTATAACTGAGGATATTTTACATCAGCACTTAAGTCGATGCAAGGCGGGTATGGAATTCGAATTACAGCCATCGTTGGGATTCAAACCTGTTTCACCTCATTGGTAGATGAGCCCTCTACTCCCGAGCTACCACAACTCTTGACTATGTACACTAATTTTCATAAAAAAAAAGCAAAGCAAATTAGTGCTCTGGTGTTATAAATGGTCCTTGTTTATCAGCTAAAGAAAGTATTAGAAGCGGCTTTATTTTATTTAACTCCTGTCGGGATCATTTAGTTTTGTGTTGCATTAGTTCTCCTTTTAACTGCTATTTTCAAGTCACCATTTATAGTCTATACAGGCAATAAAGAAATTGCTAAAAACAGGGGTTGAAATTTTCAGACTTTTGATTGATTTCTTTCTTTTTAAAAAACTTTAAGCCTGGTTTAAAGGAAACAAGATTAAATTTTAAAAGTAATAACAAAAAATATCTGCAGGCAGTTCAAGCTTCAACTAATAAATCTAGATCTGCATTTCAATTTACAAGGCAATGAGAAATGAAGAAAAATAGTACCTATTCTTTATAGTTTCTATTGAACTGAATGTTCAAAAAAAATTAACTTTAAAAAATATTTTTCCCAAAACATATTGAGCCATATTTTTTTTTCTCGAAAATTGAATGGGTTAAAAAAAATAATAAACTTGAAGAAATGCTCAGAGAAATCAGGTTTCATTTGATTTTTGATGTTAAACAGTAAACTTTCTGTTGATGAAAGGGTTGGTTAGATTCTTAAATAAAGTGAGATTATTTGTTATAATTTTATTAATGAAATTTAGTCTGAATTGTAAATTTAAATTTATAATATATCAATTTATATTTTTTAATTTTGATTAGACTTTATTGACCAATATTGCCCCCACCCCCAAAAAATAACTATTTTTTTTTTATTTAAAAACTTGGTAGGTGTGCCTTATTTTATTTTAAAATGTTCATTTATGTGAATTTTTGCAATATTCTCTATGGATTGGAATAAATAAAAAAATCAAATAATTTGAAAGATACTCTTAGGAAAATAATTGTATGTCAATATTATTTGATAATTTGAAAATAATTGTATTGTATTGATGATTGAATAAATAATTTGACCAGAGACAGTCAAAAAAATACATTGTTATCAATATTGCTTAGTAAAAAGACACATTTTAGTATCAATTAAATTAGCATTTTTTAATAAAAAAAAATTAGCATCCAGCAGGGGTGATTGCGGTGGAAAAATCCGGATTTCCAGATGTTTCGCTAACCGTGATCCAAAAGTTTCCGGAAATCCAAAGTCTAGAAGTTTCAAGAAATCATCGATCACATTTATATATAAAAATTCTTGTATATTTTATTTAAACATACTAGAGCTAGAATTTATACTTGGCATCTCTTTCATTTATAAATATTTTTTCTGATAGAATAGTAAATGTGATTAGAGATAAAAGTAAACTTACACATAATTATTCATTTAAATTATGCTGCATATAATTCCTTTAAAATATCTTGTTTTGAAAATTTCAATGACTTAAATTTATAAAGATATGAATTTTTTGAATGAATTTACTCAAGAAATTTTCATGATTTTTGAGTTGGGCCCACAATCACCCCTGCTCCAGTAGCAATCCATTTTTTTTGTGCAGTTATTGTGCGCTAACAAAAATTTAACTACTATGTTTTTTTTCTTCTTATCAGGTACTATTTCCGCTATTATGAAACCACCTGTAATTTCTACTACAAAATTTTTACATACACCAGCAAATACATTTGCCACTCCTTTGCTTAAAGCAGCTGTTTCCTACACCCAGATACAAAAAAGACAGTTGTATAATTATAGAAAACCCAGTGAGGATAAACAACTATATTACATACATTATGCTAAACCAAAAATCAAAACAAAGCGGCGTCATCCAATTGACAGTCACCCACAGATGAAAGGAGTTGTTCTAAAAACATTAGTCAAAAAGCCAAAGAAACCAAATTCGGCAAATAGAAAGTGTGTATTAGTCCGCCTTTCCAATGGTAAAGAAGCTACAGCCTATATCCCAGGAGAAGGTCACAATTTACAAGAGCATAATGTAGTTCTTGTTCGGTTTGGTCGAGTTAAAGACGTCCCAGGTTTGAGACTAAAAGTTGTTAGAGGCAAATATGATTGCAGCCATGTTGTGAAAAAAACTAGTACCATGCGAACATAAGTTAGTTATGTTTACAATCTTTTATTCTGTATCAAAAAATAAAGTTAGTTAACTTTATTGTGTTTTGTTTAGTTTATTGTGTCAATATGATTTATTGAAATGTTGAATAGATAACAAATCAGATAAATGTTGTGCATTTATTTATTTAGAAAAAAAAGTAAGTTTTTAATTACAGCAATTTTAATATTAATTTGCAATGTTAGATACTTAGAGAATAATTAAATTCTTAGAATATGTAAAGAATTCTGTTGTTTACATAGATTTATGGCAAAGTGGTGTAAATCAAACTTAAAACTATGACTTTTCAACTAATGTTGGAATTAATTCTAGTTATTTTACTTACAGTAATTATGAACTAAGTTGCATACATAAGTAATGCTCGAAATTAACAGCAGTCCTGGATAACTAAAATTTGACAACCATAAAATAAATTAGGTCTGTCCTCCAGACCTGTAGTTGATATAAAAGAATAGTATGCTGATTTGTTTGTTTTCTCTCTCCATGCTTTGTTCTGCTTTTTTCTTTTTTTTTTATTAATGAAATAGCATATTTTATAATTGTGACAATTAATTCATTTTTAGCTTTTTTTAAAAACTATATATGGGCTAGTTAGAACTTTTTGTTACTGGTTTTATGAACTAATAACTAAATTTTCTCAATTTTGATCATATTTAAGTATATTAATGACTACATTTCATAGTGAAAAAAGAAATTTTGTTTTGTTTTTCTTCATTAAATAACCCATTATAATGAATCGGTAAACTCCTCTCCAATATTTTGTTCAATCGTTCATGAAGATTAAGATTGTTAAAAAAATATAGCTGTTAAAAAAATTTTATAATCATATAACAGTTTAACTTGCATGGGCAAGCTAAACTCCCCAAAATTGTTGTTAAGCTTAGGAATTGTTCTAAAAATTCTCAACTTATTTAAAAATGCACTGTCAATTATATATATATTTCAAGCAAATTTTGTTTTCATCAAAAAAAAGAAAAAAAGACTGTGCAAATTCTATAGGAACCAAAAATAAGTAGAATTTGGAACATGACTGAGGCTCAAAAATCAGTAGTTTTTGACGTATGCGATATTTAGAAACTGTGTGAAGAAACAATTTTTCAGTCGAAAGCATTAACATCTCTCTTTCTAGAGGCGAAGAAACAATTTTTCAGTCGAAAACATTAACATCTCTCTTTCTTGAGGCTTTGAGTAGAATCAATTAAAAACAAACACTCTTACATTTTGAAATAAATTATTTACTAGTAAATCATTTTGAACAGTTAATTTTTTTAAATTTTAAGAACAATATTTTAGTCTGCAATGATATTTTTTCATATAAATGTAAATATGCATTACAACTTAAATAATTTAAAGTATTATTAGCAAAACTTTATGTACTGAGGAGCTGGAAATTTTTTTTTTTTTTAAACTATTGGTTTGGGCTGTTGAATTATCTACGCATTATCTAATTTACATTTTAATTTTAACTATATGGTAAAATGAAACAACAAATTAACAGCTAGAAATTTGCATAATGTTTTATTTCTATCAATTATGTATGAACATGCAGCAATAAAAAAGACATTTATTAATGACATTCAATGGTCCTTTTATTCAGTCTGTTCATGTTCCAAGTCAATGGACTAACTGACAAATAGAAAAATTAACTTTTTTCCCTCTTGCATGATAAAAAGTAGCGCACATTCAAGAGAAAACAAAAATTGTCTTAGATAAATGAGACTTTGCGTTGGTGCATTTAGCAAAACAAATTCATAACATTGTATATCACAGGTAATTCTGGCATTCGTCTTAAGTCCTTTACTATAACATAACCATCACATGAAAGCTGAGTTATAAGTCGGCATAATGTCTCCATATGAGCTATTGTCTTCCATATTGCGTTGACTTAGCGGTGGTATTGGTCTGTCGACACGAGGTGGGACATTTTTGGGTAAACCAGAACTGTATTTGCTTAGCGGAGTCCCACGCTGTGTATTAGCTAGACTAGGTAAAGAAGGATGAATAGGATAGTCCACTTCATCTTCATCAATGGTTGAATAAATATTTTCTTGCGATGAAGCATTAGTGGGATAATCCATTTGATTCGGTGAACCATGGCTTATTGGCCACTGTGGGCTGGCTGTTATGGATGGAAAATTATTTCTGGGATTTATAGGGGGCACGGAGTGTACAAAAGGACTGGGAATACCATGATGTGGCGACCTTTCAGTTGATGAATTGGAATGTAATTTATGTCCCATAGCAGGATCAACAGCTCTTTGGGTAAGAGGTAAAACACTAGCAGTCCTGTCTGATGGGGGATACACATTTGAACCGTGCCGATGACTGTGCACTGGATGATTTCTCAGTTTATCTGTTTTAACACCACTATGCATATGTCTATGTTTAGAGGGATAGCTAAACGAATTGTCACTGGGCAACATTTCAGGCAAATCGTGAACCATATAATCACAATCTTCACCGGTACCTTCATCACTAGAGACTGGATCTCTACATAAATCACCTCCCGTTGAGCCACGCACACTGCTTGTAGCGGAGCAATGTCCACTTCCATCACCAAAGTCTTCTTCAGCAAAATCATCCTCGCTTGTCAGACTCCTACCCCCCAACTTCCCACTCTCGTCGAAGTCCGATTCGTAACTTTTTCCAGTCATTGATTTGTCCCCAGAAGGGGCTTGAGACACTTCCTCGTAGACAGGGTGGAAAGTTTTGCTATCGACCATTTGGCCACCATCTCGTCGATTGTAGCAAGGAACAGAGTGTAACGCTGTTATTTGAGGTGGACCTATTTCTCCAAGTTTTACATCTAGTATCTGAAAAAGGTAATACAAATTTGATTACTATTTTGTATTCAAAGCTGTCTTGTTTAATTAATATCTTCTCCACTAAGTACTAGTAGATACATGTAATGTAAAGAGTAACATTTCACATACCCTGTAACGTATACTCATGCCCTCAAAGGTTATATTTTGCGTATCCTCAAATTGATACATTATGTACTTAAAATTGATCATCCTGAATAACTCTTGTTCTAATGATCGCTCATAACTAGGACTGGGCTATAAATCGATATATCGCGACATATAGATTTAACGTCTATATCGGCAAACCGATACAGCAACTTTCATTCCAAGCGATGCATCNACCCCTACATACTGGGGGTAAGAAACCCGAATCCAGGGAAAATAAAGTATGTTTATTCGGTGAAAATATGTTTTTGTGTCTGATTTCGAAACTTAAAATATCGTCCGCACTTATTAATTAGCATATTTGAGGTAACCCCCGCGAACCTTTACAATTGAAACGGGAAGATCCAACCATTAAATCAAAAGTTACTCCGGGTGTGGTCGGTTTTTTACTTTGAGCACGGTACATCAAAAAAGCGACTCTAAACAGTCATTCCAAGATTTCAGAGAAAATTCCCATTAAATTTCATGAATGGACACTTTAACAGTATAGCACAGTAAGTAAGGTCTTAGTACTGAGACACAGCCATTTTGTGTTAAATACAGAGTTAGCATTTTATCTCTTAAGTATCTCATTGTTATAAGATATACTTTTGAAAATAATACATTAAACAAAACATGATATTTAAGACACACATATCCATGTGCTATATAACTGGAAAGCTTTATTCACATTGTCTAGCTTTATTTTCAAGTATATCCTGTTACTTGTCGAACAACTCATTTGTCCAAGTGGTACATATTTCCCCCGTTCAGTTTATAAATCCTTTTTTCTGATAGCGTGACATTGTTTAAATGAAAAAATTTATTTACATGATATTAAAAAGTTTCAGTTTGAAATTTGTTAACAGCGGAATCGGATGCAAATCAATACTGTACCCAAGTGTGAAGTATGAATCAAAATGTGAATTAAATTAAATAATGAAAGTCACAGTCCCATTTCTTAGTAGTTGGAATTAATAAAGTTTTTAAATAAACCATTATTTACACAATTATTTTTTAATTGATTATAATAAAATAGTTTTTCTGTTATTTTTCGTTATCTCTTACATAATAATGCTCACTATCGTTCATAAGATTTATTTATACTTCTCAACTAGTAGACACTTTTTGTTTTCAGTTTATTATTTAGGTCTCTACTTTTTGATTAAATTGGTGATCATTTACACTCAGTTAAACAAGGTAATATGCGCACCTGCATTGTATTTCTTTTATTAAAATTTTATACCAAAATCCAGATAATAATTAATGCACTGATCAAATACTTCAAAATTTTTATAATTTTTTTGAAAAATTTGTTCATTTCTGAATAGGAGAAAACTTAACACTTTAGTTTTGTTGGCTAATGGGTAATCATCACATTAGAGTAGCCTTTTTTTTCCCTTCATAATTCATAAAAATTAAAAAATTTTAAAACTTAGGTTTATCTAAAGGTTGCCAAATAATTAACAGGATGTGTAGCGTTTTTGATTTTCGTTTTTTGCGTGCGTATTTTAGATTTTCATTTTTTTTAAATCTTTAAAGGTGTTTTTTTAATTGGATGTTGTTAAAAAGTGCTTAATTTCCCCTTTTCCACGATATTTTGCCACGATACACAAAAAGCGTGGTTTTCATTTTGTTCCTTTCAACATTATCACTATTGGATCAACCAGAATCCTTTTTGGCTTACTGTATAAATGCTCCAATCATTTTACATTTTCGATGAAAGCGGATTCCTATGTGCTTAAGCTGAGCTGAATTTGGTTGGAAGGATTCTTGCACTCTGTTGCACTTTTCCAAGAGATTCTCGAATTCAGACTTCATTTTCCGCCCTTTGAAATCGAACCGAAAAATTTCTGGAATTTCTGCTCATCATGGGGACTGACTAAACATTGCCAATTTTTTTTCTCCCCCTAATAGCAAAATGAAATTTTATTTCTCTTGTTAATTTCATCGTTAATGAAGCACCATCGTCTTCGTCACTGACAAGGCAATGGGTCTTCTCGCGCTATTCTATTTATAGATCAGTACCATAATCTTTGAACTTGACTTGGGGATTATTCACTAATTACGTACTATCAAGTGGGTCCAGAGAAGTCAATAATCACAAAGCTTCATCACCTCAAAACTTCTATCTTCCTTTTATTTAATGAAGATAACAATTGAGACTTTTAATCGTAGGATTTTTTTACCTGAGACTGTACAATTGCATTAAATTTAACTTTTTATTGTATTTTATTACTTTTAAAATTTTTAGTGCTAAGTTATTTAGGACGAAACTCAAGGCAAGATTTTTTTTTAAAAAAAGTGTGAAGTATGGAGTTTTACACTATTTTAACATTTAGCAAATGCAGTAAAAAATCTTAATTCAGATTTGTCATTCCAAAAAATTTAATTCATATCTTAATGATTTGATTTAAAAAACAATTGAAACAAAAAATTCATCCATCTCAGATATGTTAAATATTATAAATGTAGGAACCATAATTTACCAATAATTTACTTCTGACAAAAATGTTTAGTTTCAATACTTATTGTATAGAAAATTATTTTAATTGATTTATTAAAGAATTATAGAACTAATAAACATATTTTAATAAAAATTTAATAGGGGCCATTCACTAATTTGCATGCGTAATACAAATTTATTAAGTTTTCTTAATTCTTTTATGGATCTTTATAAATTCAGTATGATCTATAATATAATCTTGTTAATGTTTTTGTTGAATATACTTTTATAAATAACTTTTATTTAAATCAATAAAATACACCCGTTAGCTTTTTTTAAAATTATAGTTTACTAATTATAATTTTGAATTAAAATTATTAATTTTTACGCAAATAAATTAGGTAATTATTAATTTAAAAAATAGAATGTGTGACTCAATATTGAATTGAATTAAAATTCTGCATAAATTGTTTTTATGGTAGCTAATATAATCAAGAGAAAGAGTTCTTTGTCAGAAAAAAGTTATTTTATCCTGATCATGTTAAGTTTTTGAACTTTTTTGAAGAACTTTTAACAATTGGACGGAAAAAAAAAGTTTTATTAGTGCGCATATCCTAATTATGATTTTCTTTAAAACAGCTTAAAAGGAAAGAAAAGAAAAACCTTTTGAAAATTGAAAGAAGTCTTAGAAAATTGTCAAAAATCATGAAATTTTGAATGATGTAAACATTGCATAATTAGTAGTGAAAATCAACATGGTAAAGGAAGAATCTCATTTTGAAAAAGGAAAAATTAAGCAGTTTTTAAAATCTCCCAATGAAAAAAAGCACCTTAAAGGGCTTTTAAAAAACGAAAATCGAAATTAAGCACTTTTTAAAAAAGCTACGCACCCTCTTTAAATACTGCCCTTTCAAAATATTTAGTTAATAAAATTTCTCTGTGAAAAAAAAAATCAATGAATGACCTAAGAAATATACAATGCAGGTGCATGAGGTAGGGGTAGACTAACTTAGGCAACTGGCTGTACTTTCATTCTTGATATTAAAGTTTTAACAAATGAGTAATCCAAAGAAACTTAAATGTTTCGTTCCCCAATATATTGACTTAGATTTAAAAAGTCTCACCTAGCTCTTTTGGTATTTATTATTATTTGGTTATTATAATTTAGTTATTTTATTATTTGGTACATTTGTGAAGGTAATACACACAAAAGTTTGGATTTACTCTTATGGGGAAGGATTTTTAACTACGTTTGTTTTTAGTTCCATTCATGCAACGTCTGCCTTACTATTTTTTTTCTTTTTTTTTTTTGAGATGTTAATAAAAATCAAACAACCTGAATGATTTTTTATATCATAATCATATTTTCATGTACTCTGTTCCACATGACGAAGTACCCATCTAATTTACATTAATTATTGATGACTGTAAATATAAAATCAAGCACAAAAGTCTTCTTTTAAATAAACATACACCATTTGAAACTTAAATTCTTTTTCCAATTGAGAACAAAAAATATTGTAAGAATGCTGTTTTGCCTTAAAGAAATTCAGAATAACAATGGTTAAAATAACAGTAAGTCTAGTTTTAGTTTCTTATTCTCGTCCGCAGGCTAAATACTTAACGCTCATTTAAACTATTTCCATTCTTAGTAATTTAATATGCTGGTTTCGAGTTCTATCCACTGTCGTCTTAGAAACCCCTAGTGAATCAATCCAATAAATTGACAGCTCAGAGCTTATTTCTCCTGAGCGTAGCAAAACAACCATTCATAAAATTGTTAAATGTTAGTTACATATATTAAAGAAGAAGAAAAAATATGTATGCTTACTTCTAATGGCATTAGTGTCTGGCTGCCAGCAAGATGACTTTGAGGAATTCTGGTGGGATGGTGATTAATAAGAACATCTTCGTAACTGACGCCATTGGCTGTTCCAAGCTCTCCCATGTGACCAGGTTGTTCATTTTTACAAGGCAAAAGATTCTGCGCTTTTGTTTTGTGCCTGCAAGATAAAAAAAATAAATAAAACAAAGCAATTGATAGCCCGCATAACATAAAACTAACTTATAGTATAAATTAGCTAAAAATAATCATATTTACGATAATAACATTTTGCCAGTAAATCCTCTATTAGTGTATATTTTAATTTTACAAGGCGAAAATGTTGGCTTCTTATTTTGATCGAAAATGCGAATATCGATCAAATTAAGCTATTTATTAATCACTTGAAAATGCAACAATACATAAATAACATGTATCAGTCAACATTGCATATCCAATTAATATTACTCAGCCCAGTCACATTAATGAGACAACCTGTCAAAAGCCAAAATAACCACGGCTACCTCTTGTGGCTTGATGGCTACCTCTTATGGCTCTCCACGGCTTGATGATCATTAGTCAACTCCATCATAAAAAAAATAACTCTGAGAAAGTGCACTTTTGCATCTGGTTTCGTAACTTAATCAATTAGCATATTTGATGAGATCAACCCTTAGAACTATTAAGATTGGCATATTAGAAAATCCAATCATTAAAATAAAAATTAAACAGGATGCCATCCTTTTTTTTCTTCCATTGTACAAGCTACTGGATACCATAATTTGTATCCAGTTGCTTGTACAGTGAACTAACCGCAATAGTATCTTATATATATAGTGCAACAAAGTTTAAAAGATAATTTGTTCACCCAATACACTTAGGACCTTAATACTTCACCGACCGTATGAATTGCACCTGAGTTCTTAATTTGGTGCTCAGTTGACAACATCATACCTCTCAACCTTGATAAAACAATACTATAGCAGGGTTAAATTACTATTCTATAACGATACTAACTGCTTGAACGATAGCAGGGTTTAATTTTACACCGTACTTTAGGTTCGCAATAATACTTGAGTTTGAAAAAAATTTTGCTCCGTATTATGGTTCAAGGTAAAGATATAATGGTTTAACGTTGGTCCAATTTTTCTAAGAGTATCGGTTCAAAATTGAACAACATCAGTTGAAGTTGAAATCGTAGAAGCTAAATCAACAATTAAAAAGCAAATTAGAACAAAATGGTATTTTCGGTGATCTGAGTAAAATTACGATGATAACAAAACACATTTAAAAAAAATAAATAGTGCATTTAGAATTTGAATAAGGCAGTTTATTTAAAATAGATTAGAATAATTTGTGAATTTAATTCCAATAGCCGCATTTCGTTAAAAAGTTTTCAACTTAATCCATAACATAGTGTTAAAAGCAGGTAATGGAATAAAATATAGTTCTTGTTCATTAACCGTAATATTTTGGAAATGCTAGAATCAAATAATATTAAGCTGATATGAATATGCTTATTTAAATAGATTATCTCCTAACAGATATATCTAGGTTAGCGCTTTCAAACTAGAATTAAGTGGTTAGTTGCATGATGACTTCAGATTCAGTTTGCGATTATAGTAATTAACTGTAAATACTCGAAATAAAGCACCAGTAGGAAAGCTTCTAATCAACGGCAGGGCATCATAGCTTTAGCTTTTGAAGCGGGGAAAATTCATCTCCACAGTTGAAGAAGTAATGATTTTTGGGCGCTGCGCATGGAAGAGCAGTTTTTGCCAGCAGTAGCAGTCAGAAAGAGAATGGAAACAATAAATAACTGTTGTGTGGAGGGAAATGGGAGTTATCCCCGCCTGAACTATTCTTCTGGGGACGATTCCCTCAGTGATGATGATACTAAATCTACAGTGGAAAAGAGCCTTTTTTTATTTTTTTTATTCTCAAGAACAGTCATTTCGAAGCTGAAAGGGGCCTCTCGTTTCTGGAACCGCCATAATTACAAATCTGAAGCGAGGAATGAATACAATGCCGTTCAAGATTTAACGAAGACTCGGAATTTTATTAAGTTATCCAAGAGGCTGAATTGTTAAACGAGGCCCAGACAGGCACTTTCAGTACGAATAAGTTATTGTTAGAGCCATCTACATTTAATTTAATACAAAAAAGAAAAATAATATTCTTTTGCAAATTTATTAAACATATAAATATTTAAAAAGCTAGGTGGAAACTCAAATGTTTAATGTTTTATATATATGGTAACATTTATAAGTACAGAAAAAGGGAGTCTTTTTTTCCATGCCCCTGGTTTAATCCCTTAAACAAGTTTAAAAAGCTTAATAGCTAATTGTGTAAACTAAGATATGCGCCACGAGTTTTCAGTAGGATGCTCAGCAGTACAAACCTGCTACACCAAGAAAAGAGAAAATTTATCTGCAGAGAGCGGGGTAAAATATTTGAATTAAAATGTTGAAATTTTAGGTTTGCAAGGCAAGAATACTAATGCACATTTTTCTACAATAAAGAATACTGCACTACTAAAAGGTAGTACTTATAAATAATTTATTGAAACTTAATTGGATAAGAGACAAGCTATTGATACAGTTGAGGTCAATATTTTTAAGTTCAGTTTAATTTTGTCTGTATCTTTTTAATTTTTTTTATTTAGAAATTTATTCTTAACGTTCGCCGCGCTAGATCTGTTACCGAGTTATTAATGTTTACAAAATTACAGGAACTATTACAAAAATATTTCTGGGGTCTATGTTTCGTTATTGGGTTCACTTCACAGATTAATTTTTAATAATATAATGTGATAATACAAACGTTTAAAAAAGGAAATGCTCTACGACGTTTAGGGAAATGCTAAGGCACTGTTGTTGTGAAAAAGTTTCATTACAGTGAAAACAAAGGAATTTTATCTAACTCTTCACAATTGGCTAGCAAAGCAAGAATTTGTTGATTAACAAAATGTCCCTTTTAAACCACGGCCAGTATTCCATAGACACAAAAATTTATATTACTATGAAAATTATATTTTTCCCAATAAGAATTTTAGTGGAAGTTTGAGTTCAATATAAACTTTTCGAGTTTTTCTTTGAAAATTCAAAAAAGACATTAATTTTTAAAAATAATTTATCGTTTGCATTTAAAATTCCTTTTACGTGGAATTAAATTATCTAGAAAATTGAAGCAGACGATAAATTATATGCATCGCCAAATAAAGTTTTCTTTCCTTTGAAATGAAATAGAAATAATTTAGTTTCCTCGTGCCCAAATTCACTTTTCAGAGATTTCACTAAGAAAGAGGGTTCAACTAGAATTAAAGTTAAATCATTCACTGAAAACTTTTAAGTTATTTAAAACACTGAGTTTTAAATTCTACTGCATGGAATTGTGCTGTTATTAAATTTATGTGGCATCACGAACGGGACAAAAATTCATTGCAATGGGGAGTTTACTTCCGAGATATTTTAGAATGTAATTAAGGTGATTTAAGAGCTCAAAGCAAAATAATCCCAATGCATGAAAATAAGAAAGAAAAGAATATTTTAAATAGGTAATGACACGCGGTATTTCTTAAATCAAGTCCGAATCCCCAAAAGGAAGCACATTAGGTTCTGTCATAATTGGAAACTTACAAAAGAAGAGGAGCAATTAGGGAAAAAGAATATGTTAATGTTAAAACGGAACGAAAAATTCTAATCTAATAAATATTCATGCATTGATTTTTCTTATTAAAAGCGAGTCGATCATATATCACTAAGAAAGGAACGAACTTTCTAAGCGCAGTTAATAACCCTTTTATAATAGCTTCCAATATTCCCTCACTTACGGCTAATAATTAATACTGAGCCTCGATTTGGCGTTATTTATTACAGTGGCTGGGTCATATATAGCGAGGGTGTCGTTTCTTAGAGCCAAAAATGAGTGTCTAATAAAAGGAACAAGATTTTCTCGCTCATTAAGAATAGCTTATATGATATCTACTTAGTAATTCTGAATAGGTTTGTCAGTAGCTAAAAATACAACAAATCTCCATAATTTTTAAGTATAAAAGAATTTCACGAACTATTATTTTAAGAAAGTTTCAACATTGTTCTAAAACTGTTCTTATATAATATAGGAATAGATAAACAGATTTAAATTATCAATACTACAAGCATTTGTTAGTACATGAAATAACTTTTTTGGAAAGAATTTTTTAATGTTATCTTACAATACAAATCAAATTTTTGCCTTTTACTTTAACATTAACGGGGTAAAGTTTTAATTATTATACTTCATTTAATTATAAAACTTTTAACCCATAGATTTTTAACCTTTTGACGCAGAATTTTTATTGAACACATTTTTCATATTTTGAATTAATTTAGGCCAAAATAAGTGAAAAATATTATATTTAGCCCTTTAATAATTTATGGTTATGAAATACAACATAAAATACCGGTGTTCTTTTCTGCGTTAAAGGTAAAACCGTCTCTTTTCAAATAATAATTTTTTTAAGTTTGCAGTTATTTATATCTAGGAAAAACTCTTATTCATTGTCCAAATTTAGTTTATTTACAAAATAAATTATTAATAAATTTTTGAATATGAATAAAAAAAAAATTCAAACTTTTTTTTTGTATTAGTACAAATATAACTCCGATAATTTTACTGGTTTTTTAGAAACTATGTATTAGACTGTTTTTTACAATTAAAAAAATACCAAAATATATTTTTGCTTGTAATTAGAGCGTCAGGAAAAAATATATAGAAAAGGAACACCGGTTTGACATCTGCGTTAAATGGTTAAAAGTCAAAAACGCAAGGGTAAATATTAAATAAATGGACATTTGATTTTCAAAACCTTATTGAATCAATATCTCTCATATTGAATCAATGAATTTTTGAATATCTAAAACATCATAGTAAATCTTCATTCAATACATTTTTGAATATCAAAATCTTCATAGTTATTAAAATTCGATTTTTTCCGCTGTCAAAAACGTCATTGTTAACATTCATAGATTTTAAAATGTCAAATTCGCTAAAGATATGTATTAAATCAATAAATTTTAGAATATCAAATGCGTTATGGTAAATATAGAACTTTTGAATTTCAAAAACTTCAGGGTAAAAATTGAAACAAAGGTTTTTTCTATATCAAAATCGTGGAAAATACATTCCATCTTCTCATTT